CATCACCCCTCCCCTCCTCATCACCGTCCCTCCTCATCACCCCTCCCCTCCTCATCGTCCCTCCTCATCACCCATCCCTCCTCATCACCCCGTCCCTCCTCAACGTCCCTCCTCATCACCCCGTCCCTCCTCATCACCGTCCCTCCTCATCACCCCTCCCCTCCTCATTGTCCCTCCTCATCACCCCCGTCCCTCCTCATCACCATCCCTCCTCATCACCCTCCCGTCCTCATCACCCGTCCCTCCTCATCACCCCTCCCCTCCTCATTGTCCCTCCTCATCACCCCGTCCCTCCTCATCACCGTCCCTCCTCATCACCCCGTCCCTCCTCATCACCGTCCCTCCTCATCACCCCTCCCGTCCTCATCACCGTGCCTCCTCATCACCCCTCCCGTCCTCATCACCCGTCCCTCCTCATCACCCCGTCCCTCCTCATCACACCCCCTCCTCATCACCCCGTCCCTCCTCATCACCCCGTCCCTCCTCATCACCCGTCCCTCCTCATCACACCCCCTCCTCATCACCCCGTCCCTCCTCATCACCCCCCTCCTCATCACCCCGTCCCTCCTCATCACCCCGTCCGTCCTCATCACCCGTACCCCCCTCCTCACCACCTCCTCTCATTGACGGATCTTTCATCGGCGTTGTTGTTCAAAGTGCCTTGTCGCAGTTGTAGATCTCAGCTCCTCTCTGCTCTGACATGAGGGGATGAACGGAGGCGGGGGGAGACAAGAAGACGGAGAGAGGAAGGGAGGGAGGGAGGGAAGGAAAGAAAGGATAGGAGAGAGAGAAGGGGACGACAATGTGTTATTGTGTGTAATTGTTATTACCAGCTGTGCTCTGAAATGGTCACGATTATAGAAAGAACACTTCAACTGGCCCTCAGCAGCAAGTAGTAGTACCAAGTAGTAGTACCACGTAGTAGTACTTTCATCGTGCCCCCCCTTAATACAGCTGCTTTCAAAACAAAAGAATGAAAGGTTAAAAAGAGAGACGCTGAACTAATTTGTAACATTTTGCATTATTATATTTGAATTGTGGGACATTTGATGTCGTACAGGAGACGCGGTCGTCTCTCGTCCGCTCGTTCTTCTGGGGATTTAACCTGCTTCCATTAAAACGGTTCCACCGAGTTGTTCTTTTTAATATTCATTCACCGGACTCATCGACTCGGAAATGTTCCTAATGGAATTTTCCAGTAGGGGAAGAAATGAGGTATTAAAAACTGTCCCTCGTCTCTTCTTCCTTTTCTTTCTCACAATCGGGAGGAGTGAAATCCCTCGCTGGCTTCCTCCCCACAATGTGTGTGTGTGTGTAAATATGTAGATGACGCCTAACCAGCCAGAACTAGGCCATCTTCTCCTGCGTGAACACCTGAATAGACGCGATGGTGGGAGGAGAAAGAAAGTGAGGCCAGAGGTGAACGTTTTACCAAAATATCCACTCCGGCAGCGCTCGGATTAAACCGACGGGGCTCAGCATCTAAATCAAGTCCTCTAAAGAATATCTCATTGGAAGGAAAAAAAATACACGATTTGATATTTTCTCAGTCGGCAAAAACAGCCGCTGGGTTCATTGTCTCCTATCCGCTCTTTTTTTAGTTCTCAGCTGCAGCAGAAAAGATTCAACATTTCTGTTTGCAAATAAAGAAATGAACCCAGGAAATGAGGAATAATGAGTAGAAAGACGATACTTTAAGTCTCACATTCAGAGGATGAAACAGCTGCGAGGTCACCAGCAGCACCACAGTGTTATTAAAGGTAATTTAAAACCAATGAACACAATCGATCATATTTAGAATATGGAGGAGGGACGTAGAGACGTGGTACACGTCTCTGGTAGCGACCTGTCAATCAGCGTGTAGCTCCGCTCTAAAGCGTCCTCTGCTTTATGGTCCGTTTGACTCTAAATGGACCATAATTCACTAAATGACATCATGCTGTGTTGAAGAAGATTTGAACCTAGAGACTGAGACCATAAACTCATGTTTACAATGTTTACTGAGGGAATAAATAGAGAGAGAAGTAGAGTCATTTTAGACTTCTATGGGACCAGAGGAGTCGCCCCCTGCTGGTCATCAGAGAGAATGCGGCTTTGTAGAAGTGTAGATTGTCTCCTGAGGGACGCTGTGTGAGGACAGATTCAGGAGCCTCAGGAGCTTCAGGAGCCTCAGGAGCCTCATGAGAAACAGCGACCTTCTCTTCTGTCTGAAGGACTCAACAAAAGGGGTCGACTGTAGAATCGCTCGAGAGAACGAGGGAAGGACGGAGAGGGAGAAGAGCTTTAGAGGTGTGAATGATGGGTTTGTGTGTCTGTGTGTCTGTGTGTGTGTGTGTGTGTGTGTGTGTGTGTGTGTGTGTGTGTGTGTGTGTGTGTGTGTGTGTGTGTGTGTAAAGGCTTGATCGTATCTCAGGGCTACATCAGTAGCCATTAGTACTTTGTAGCACAAACACACACTTTGACAGGTCTGCTGCACCGCCTGCAGAGAGTGTGTGTGTGTGTGTGTTGACCTCACTTTTCATGTGCTTATCTCACCTGCACAAGAACGTCATGAGCCACAATACTACACACACACACACACACAGACACACACACACACACACACTCACAATGTGAATGACCTCTGAACTCTCCTCTCAGTCACTTTTGTTTCTTTCATCCTCTCACCTTCTCACCTGTTTCCTCCAGCGTCATCATGACATCATGGATCCTGTTTGTCATCCTCAGTGGAAATAGATTAATTCTCTTGTCTTGTTGTCTCATTTTTCCTCTCCTTCCTCCTTCCTCCTTCCTCCGTGCTTCTTTGTCCACATTTCATTTTGTTCTTATTTCACATCAGATGGAACCGATGCTGCCATTGTTGTCAGCTAAGCCCCGCCCCTCTACTCCTCCAGCCTCTTCTTCTTCTGTTCTCCCCTTCCTTCTCGTTTTACTTCACCCGCTCCCCCGTCTCCTCCCTCCTCGTCCTCCTTTCTCTCTCCATAATCCCTTTCTTCTCCTCGTCTTCTCCTGCTATCGCCTCCTCGTTCTCAGTTTAAACTTCCTCCCTCCTCCTCGCCCGTCATTTGTCTTCTTCCATCCCCTGTATCTCCTCCCCGCTTCCTTCCCTGCACGTGTCCTCTCTTGAGCTTCGACGCATCAGGAAGTTGACGCACGCACACACACACACACACACACACACACATGCACTCGGGGGGGGTGGAGGCTTGTTCGTATCAGCTCTGACATCAGTCATCTGTCAGCACAACTTTTATCTGTTCATCCCTGTCTGTCTCTCTCTGCCTGTCTGTCACTGCGTCTCTCGGTCTCCTTCGGCCTGTCTCTCTGTCGCACACACACACACTCACACACACACACGCACGCACACACACACACACATCGAAGGAGCAGCGGCAGCTCGTCTTTATCGTCCTATCGCTCCTCTCTGGTAGAGCATGCAGAATAAATCAACTGCAGAAAACCCGGAGATGGCGACGAGGAGATAAGGAGGGACGGAGGCGGCGGAGAGGTGCATGATGGGATATGATATGACAAATATATTGTGCAGTTTGTGTTTGTGAGCCATCGAAACAATGGCAGAGAAAAAGAAGAAAAGACGAAGGGGGAGCAGAGAAAGTGTGTGTGTGTGTGTGTGTGTGTGTGTGAGTGTGTGTGTGTGTGTGAGTGTGTGTGTGCGTGGTTGACACTTTGCCCTGAGCCAGACCTACAAGTGAGGGATTTCTATTTCACGCTGCGCTCTCTGTCTTCGTATGGCGTTTAATGTCCGTCATCCATCACGTGACGACGGGTGACGGTTGTGAGCGGATGAAACAAAGCAAACAGGGAAAGAAAATATACGAGACTGAAAGAACAAATTAGACTGAAGGGATAAAAGGATGACAGGGAAGACAACACACACACACACACGAGTACAGAGATAATAACAGAAAGGAAGACGAGATGATCGGGCGAGAGAGGGGAAGTAGAAGCTGCCTCAGAGTAAACGCCTTTGAGCAAGACACCGAACCCTCTCCGGTCCGTCTGCTCGCATCACTGCAGCTAACCGGTTAGCATTTCTTCACGTTGGGTAATCTGCTCTGCCGGCTAATGACGCGCCTCCGAACAGCAGTGGGATGGGTGGGGGGGGGGGGGGAGGTGCCGGTTGTGTTGTTTCACAGTGAACGGACCCATGAACCCCCCAATCCCCCCCCCCGCCCCCCCGTCCACCTGGTCGTTACACACATTAGGAGTCGAGGGTGGCGACTCAGCCGTCTGATGGAGGACGAGTTTCTGTCTAAATTGAGAATGCAGCGTGTGTGCGAGATGTGAAAACAGCAACCTTTTTTATTCCTTGTTTATAGTGATTGAAGGACGCCTCGTATTTCACTACTAATGTTGTGAAAACAGAATGTCTTTAAATGTGTTTTAATTGTGTTCATTACAACACGGGAATAAGAACAAAAACGAACCACAAAACTGAAGCACGTCGAGGAGACACACAGGCGATAAGACTGACTAATGGTGCAGTGTGTCCTCACACACAGCCACACTAACACACACACACACTCTCACACACACACACATACACACACACTCACACACTCACATCTGTGAAAGGTGAAGTTTTTACAAATGAAGGCCAGAAGACGGAGAACAGTGTTTCTGTTTGAAAATGTCACCAATCCTTCAGTCTGATGGGTAAAGGCCATTCCTCTCATTACTGTGTGTGTGTGTGTGTGTGTGTGTGTGTGTGTGTGTGTGTGTGTGTGTGTGTGTGTGTGTGTGTGTGCGTGCGTGTCTGTGTGTCTTCCTCTGCTCGTGGACTCTCTGATCATTGAAGACAAACTCTTCACCCTGAACTTTGACTCACTGTGTTCGAGTCCCAAATCGCCTCAGATGTAGTTTCCTGGTTGAGAAAAGTCTGCAGTCGTCAAATATCCCTTCAATGGATCAATGGATCTGATGTCATGATCAATAACAGCCCCCCCCCCTCCTCTTCCCCCCCCCTTCTCTCTCTGTAGATGCTCCACTCTTCGTTACGACTCTGATCTTCCTCCATCCTCCATCATCATCACCTTCCACAACGAGGCCAGATCCACCCTGCTGCGCACCGTCACCAGGTAACACACACACACTCACACACGCACACATATACTCACACATGATGGAGGATTCGCTCAGACGATCAGGAATAAAGAATAAAGTCTCTGGAACAAAGTTGTCTTTCTGCGTCTATTTCTTACAAGGGAAAAGAGTGCAACAAAACTAAGTATGAAACATTACAGCATCATTATATTTTACTATTCCACCCTTTTGATTACATCCAAATCAATAGGCAACAATATGCTGTAGTAGATCTGTTTCATGAATAGTGTAACGCGTCTACTACTAAAATACTAAATGCTAAAATACATGAACAAGAAACCCAAAAATAAAAAGCTGTTTTTTTAAGTTATTCCAGCATACAAGTAAAATCCTCTCTATGTTACACAGGAGAGTCAGGGTCAGATGTCAGGACCGTCTATCGTCATAGTAACAGTCTGGAGTGGGAGACGGGGGAGGAAGCCTGTGTGCGTAGTCGTAGTTGTGTTATCTGGGTTTGTGTAACGAGGAAACAGACAAACGCACTCTGCCAGCTGGGACGCCACTGGTGCCGGGACAGTGGGTCCGTCACAACTGTTGTCTCCATCTGGCCGATCGGTCCTGCGTCTCATCACCTGCAGACCGGCGCCGCAGGAGATGAGACAAGGCTGATGCCAAAGGAACACATCAGGTCTGTGTGCGCGTGCGAATGTTCCACTGGGAGGTTGCGTCAGTAGAGTCACTGTGAACACCGGATGCCCCTCGTCCCCTCGTCCCCTCGTCCCCTTGTAAAGGAACCTTTCTGCCACTCAATTTCTGATTTGGAGAACAGTTTTGCTGACAGACTGTGTCGCCGCCAGAGATGAATTCCCGTCGAGCCGCACACAGCGGCGTGCGTCTCTCTAATGATCCTTGTGTGTGTGGAAGCTTCTGTTGTGTCTCCAAATGGTTTGTGATGTTGATGAGAGCTTGTTGCTGCTCTGGTGTGTGTTTGTGTGTGTCTGTGTGTTTCACTTATCATCACGAGGTGCCTGCGTTGTTGCCGTCTCCCCCCCACATGCGGCCTCCTCCCCTCCCGCCTCACCTCAGTCCTCAGAGTGTGCGTTGCGTTGGCCACGCCCCCGTCCTCCTGCCTGTGGACATTCTCTGGACGAATGTCCTTTTGGTGGAACCTCCTTCCAGACGTCCCCCGACGCAACTTCCATCGATCCCACTTCTGACCCCGAGGATTCGCTCAGACAGTCGGGAGTAAAGGAGGACGTCTCTGAATCAAAGGTGTCTTCCTCCGTTTGGGTCTTTCAAGGCAAAAGAGTGGCAAACTTCTTCTTCTCTGCGTCTGATCCCTGGTTTTATTCATGGTACAGATAAGGGGTCTAGTGGGGGGGGGGGGGGGATTACCCCCTCGGCCCTGGGCTGCTGCCCGTGTTCTTGGCCTCAGCCTCACGGCGCCCAGGACGCCGGCTCTTATCGGTTCATGGCCGAAACGTCCCACACAGCTGTGTGTTGTTATGGGCAGAAGATCAGAGGCGACATATCTGTGTGTTCATCTTTAAATGAAACATGTGAGTCTCAGAGATGATGCTGAGCGGCCAGACACACACACACACACACACACACTTACTCTGCTGACCCTCCATCTCTGAACCCTCACTCTGTCTTTTAGTCTGATGATATCAGCAGGTTGTCGCTCACACACACACACACACACATACACACACACACACACACACACACACACACACGTTGGCCCGGGTTCAGCTCATTATTCTAGTCAGTCAGCAGAGACCGTCCACGTCTCTTAACTATCACAGAGGACACTGTGTGTAGTGTGAGCAACAGTGTGTGTGTGTGTGTGTGTGTGTGTTTGTGTTCTTGTGTGTGTGTGAGTGTGTGTGTGTGTGTGTGTGTGTGTGTGTGTGTGTGTGTGTGAGTGTGTGTCCTCCCCAGCTCTTCTCAAAGCTTTGCAGTTTCTCAACCAATTAAAAGACAATCTGTCTCCCTGGGCCCCTGTGCTCCCTTTGGCTCTCGGTGTGTGTGTGTGTGTGTGTGTGTGTGTGTGTGTGTGTGTGTGTGTGTCTTTGCCGGTGGCGACTTGGAGCTGGAAGACGTTTCGCTGCCTTTTATTTTGAGTTTGTCCCATTTGTTGCGACTGAGATCCTGTGAAGCTTCGTTTGGTATTTAGGAGCATGTTGTTCTATTGATTAATGGCATCACACAGTTTATAGTTATTTAAAATAATTCTTTTACTAAATGACAAATCATCCCAGAAATAATTGCAATAAATCAGTGACATAATCCTACTCTAAGTTCATTTAGATATATTGTACAATTAGTTAAATAACTATATTTCATACCAAACGTCTGGAGCAAAGATTATTTCATCTGTTGTGAAACTAATTGGACCGCTCTCACTTTTTCACATTTCATATTCTCTCCGTCGTCTCCGCGAGTGTTTTGCTGAAGGTCAGGAGGAGAGGACGTCGTTGGAGCTCAGCGATCACTCGACATTCACAGCTTTCTTCCTCTTTGTGAGTCGGTGATTCACACGGAGGAGGCCGACAGCCAACAGAGAGACACAATCTGCTGAGATGTTCAGACGCTGCTCCGTTCTCTCCTGGAGCAAAGCCGCGTTTCCTCTCCACAGCGACGGCGTGTCTCTCGTTGGAGGGTCAGAGGTCAGAGTTGGGTGTAATTTATATTACAGCCGAGCGAAACCGTCGATTATCAGATCGATTTTCTAGTTTCGGTTTATTTCAGAACGCTATGAAGTCAAACTTAAGAATTATATAACATGAATTCCATCACAGTCAGCAATTTACCCCTTTACAAAATTATCGCGTGGAGCTGCTATTTGAAGAGCATTTCAAACCTCGTCATGGATGTGTGAAAATACACGCCGAGGATACAAAGAACGGTAAAGGGCAAAGAGGAAAAACAAGCTTTTATTGCCATTTTCATAAAAACAAAGGCTCTCAGGAAGAATCGTCCCTGTGAAGACGTTGTGGAACACCTGCGTTCTCTGTAGTGACCAGCAGGGGGCGACTCCTCTGCTCCCATAGACGTCTATGAGAAAATATACTCCGGATTTATTCTCTTTGTGAACATCGTAAACATTTTAGTTTATGGTCTTAATCTCTAGTTTCTTGAGTCTTCTTCAATGCAGCACGATGTCCATGTAAGTCATGTAAGTCAAACGGGCCATAAAGCAGGGGCTGCTTTAGGGCGGGGCTTACTGTGATTGACAGGTCTCTACCAGCGACGCGAACGTGCCTCCTTGGTATAAAAGTCACACACAACGCAACGAAGCTGTAATATAAAACCACTGCGTGGCTTCAGTCATGAAAGTAATTCGGGCTGACGGACACTCGGACAGGAAGATAAAAAGAAAAATAATAGAATAAGAATAGAAGAATAGAATAATGGAAGAATAGCTGGATGTGTTTTCTCAGTATCCGTCTTAGCTGCAACTAATAAGGTTGTTTTCAAAGACGGGCTCTTTGAAAGCATTCATCTCGTGATCAAAGAGACGTTTTGTGAGCTCGTCGATATCCAATCAGCCTCCGATCGGAACATTGATCCCATCTTCTCCGCCTCCGCTGGGCGGAGATAAGCAGGCGAAGAGCGAGGGAGAAGACGTGCCGCCTTTGATGACATGTTCGGTTTGAATGGATCTTTTTCGTCTGTGTGTGTCTGTGTGTGTGTGCGTCTGTGGATCTACATGTGTGTGTGTGCGTGTAAATCCGACGCCTGAGCTGCGGCGGCTTCAATAAGGAGCCCCAGAAGCTTCATGCACACCAAAAACCTACTTAAATGCTGAGTTATGACATGTTCTACCCATTATGGGTTATTTATAGGGGGTTGGGTTATTTTTGTGCAACTCACGCGCTGAGTCAGAATTCATCGACCCAACATACATCGGTTGACCCAGCAGCTGGGTTGTTTCGAACTCTAAGTCTGCAAAAAACCCTGCAAAAGCGCGTAGGTAACCCCACACAGCCACCAACGTCTGACCCTACAGTGACACAAGAACACTCCCTTTTGGATCAGGAGCTGCCACGGTAAGAACGTTTCATCCTGCTTGTATTCATCAAAATGTTTTTTAAATTAAATCCTGAATAGGAAACTTGATAATCCTACACATAGTATACATTGCCGCAGTAGTTTAAAGTGACTTAAAAAGCTATCGTTTATTTGTTTATGGCCAAGTTTGGCTATTAGTAGTAAGCTAATGTTAGTTAGCTTAAAATAGCTAACGTTAAACTATAGACTTGTGAAAATTTGTGATTTTCCGCTCATAAATAATTTCTCAAGTAACTGAGTAAATCATGACAACCCATTTGCCAATTATAGCGCATGACTATTAACTTAATTCACTGATGTTAGCGTGCTTTACCGGACATTGTTAAAAGGCAAAGAGAACTTTTATAATCAATTTTTAAACAGTAAGAAGTCAATTTTAGTTTAACACCATTAAATCACCCGAAAACATTTTTTTATTTATTTAACATCCACACAATCAGACACACCTGTGTTCACCAAGCTACAGGTTTCACAGTCAGAAACTACACCAGACCAGTTTTTTCCCCATTTTGTTTAACGGGAGATCAGACACAAAATAATAAAGGACTTCATTCCAAGTCATTGCTATCTAGTGATCAATAAGCCTGTAATACAAAATGAAAAATACAAAAATTGTTCAGTTGAATAGTTTATACCTTTTTTAAACTGCACAAGTAATACAGCTCCATCTTATTTTATCTTATTTTTTAGCCTTGAACGAACATGGTCGAGTACCTACATGAGGCCAAGGCATCCAGACTCACTCGTATGTCCTGACACTGGGAAACGACAAACATCGACAAACATCAAGCATCCCAGGCCTTCGCCATCATTGCTGGACAGGCTCTGGTACACGACACACCGCTTCAGGCAATCGACGTCTGCTTCAAGGCATTCTTTGTGTTGGATATCAAATACCCGAAGCAATGTGAACATGTGTGGGAATTCCTGCAGACTGTTGTTTATAAAATGCCAGGAGGGGGGTCCAGGTTAGTCAAGTTCCTCCAAAGTCGATTACTTGCTAGAGCCTCAAGGGCAGCTGGTTAGTAAAAATTAACACCCGTTAGTTGTTATGTAAACTGGTGAGTTATAGCTCAGACTTGTTTTTTTACGACAATAAACTGAGTGTCTCTTTGTGGACACAACAAGAGATTTGAGGATGTCATCTTGTGGTTTTTCAACATTTTTTGACATTTTATACACAACAACTAATTGATTAATCATTTACATAATTGACAGATTAATCGATAATGGAAATAATCATTAGTTGGAGCCCCATTTTGTTGATAGTGATTTAAACTTACAATTCATTTTATATTTTGGATTTTTTATGATATATTCATTTTAGAATTCCAATATTGTCAAGTGTTAATTATGATATGTGCTTTGCATGATCAAATCTAGCAATCTAGCAAAACAGTTTTATAGACAACAAATAGTGTGTAGTTGAATGAACCCAGAATTGTAGTTAATTTGAGCCAGTATTTGGGTAGAATATTTAACTCATCTGTTGGGTTAAATTGACCAACCCATCGTGCTGGGTCAAATTAACTACTGCTGGGTTGGTGCAATAGTAACCCAGTGGTTGTTTTATTGTGTGTGGGTGGAGCTCTGGATCAGCTCCGCCCCTCATGATTCGGCAGGTCGCTCATCAGGCCTCATCAGGTCGTCGGGTGGATTCATCGCCGTCATGTGACCTCAGACTGGGGTCACCTCAGTTAGAGACAACAGGTTTTCTTCATCACGACGCTGTGCTGTAATAACAATGATATCATATCATTCATGCTGTCATCTTTGGTCATTTGAGGCCCTTGGGGCCCGAACCCACCCGTCATCTAACCCTAACCCACCCGTCGCGTGTCCTCCCGATGGCGCCGAGGACGCAGTGTTTACTGCAGACGCGGCGCATCGAGCGGCTGAATCAGGACTCTGTAGATCTGCTGCAGGAGGTCTTCTGTCACCGCACGACAGATTTAACCCGCAGAGGGAGAGAAGAGGCCGATAATCTCCTTCGCTACGCAGTTTTTAAACGGCCTGATTGTTAATCACCCCGAGTAACAATCAGGATTCTTTCACAGTGTGCGTTTATTCTACAGCTCCGCTGCCGTCAGGAGGTCCTGATGAAGACGTGGGCACGATGCGGAGGAGAGGAGGGTGGATGCAGAGGTGGAGAGAAGGGAGTGATGAATTACCTCAGCGAGGTGGAGGAGCTGGCTGAGAGGGGGGACGGGGGGGGGGAAACAGAGCGGATGAACACCAAAGAGAAGCAGCGGCGTCATCAACAGGAGGAACTAATTCCACTCCTCAGTGAACAACAACCTGATTTACAAGCAAAAACAAACAGGAACAAACAGAAAGAGACGAGGAGCCGGCGGAGCGCGAGACGCTCGCAGCAGATGAACGGATGAGTTTAAGACAACCGAGGAAGGAGGACGGAAAAACAAACGGCGCTCAAGAGAGAAGACCGTCACCCGTCGGAGCTCAGCTGGACGTCCGATGTCTCCGACGTCACCTGTGTGTGTGTGTGACGCACTAATCTACATGCATGAATCACATGTGTGTTCATGTGCTCAGAGGACCGAACATCGTTCACTAACAAACAGGACAAAGAGACAAAGTCCACTTTTCAGCAACTTATTGCAGCCGTGAGACGGAGACGCGTGGAGACGTCTTATTGGTGTGAGACACTCGGTGCTCTCTTACAGACACACAACCTGTCATCTGTAAGCTAATACAACAAGACACGGCTACATGGGGTGCGGGGGGGTCTACCTGTCTGTCCCTGAGCTGAGGACAGACAGGTATGAGACACTGATAGAATGATGAAGGATAGTTATCGATAGATATACTGATTATTGTCCTCCATGTTTTGCTCGCATCGCACCATTGCTCCTCCTCCTCCTCCTCCTCCTCCTCCATCAATCCACATCACCTCCCCTGATAGAGAGAGAGTTACTATCAGGGTTATTTGTCTCCCTTAGCCCGCCGTCCCTCTCCCCCCCTCTCCTCCGTCTCTATCCCTCCCTCCCGCCCTCCTCCATCGCGCCTCCTGATTCATCTCTATCAGCCAAAGGTCTGCCCCCCCCCCCCACCCAATCCGTTCACGCTCCCTTTGCTCCTCCTTCCTTCTCGCCCCTTTGACCTCCTCACACCTTCCCTCTCGGTTGTGGTTTTTATATTTCGTTTTTTCACATTTAAGTTTCTTTCTTCTCCGGAGGCAACGCTCGTTAATCAAGAGCAAGAAAGGTGAATGGAAAAAGGACACATCCTGAAGACTTCATTCCTCCTTCCTTACCCCCTCCCTCCCCTCCTAAAACAGAGCAGAACCCCCCCCCCGTCCCCACAGACACACACACACACACACTCCCGTCTTCTTATTTTCTTCCAAGTAAAAAGTTATGAATTTTTTATGTTTCAATCTTCCTCTTTAATGAAACAGTTCTCGGAGGCGACACGTCGTACATTTCAGAGCAGCGATTCTGGCTGACATTTCACAGTGTTGTGTTATACGCAGTGCGGTGCGTACGTAATGAGTGCGTGTCTGTGTGCGTCTGCATCTGTGTGTGTGTGTGTGTGTGTGTGCAGTCTGCCATTTACTTCCCGTATATTACCTCCCTTTTTTTCCGCGTGATTACGCACAATTGAAAGTCGTATTTCCTTTTGTCTCTCCAGCGTCTTGAACCGGACTCCAGTTCATCTCATCCACGAGATCCTCCTGGTGGACGACTTCAGCGACGACGGTGACGCACACAGACACACACACACACACACGCACACACACACACACACACACACACACACACACACACACACACACACACAGGGTCCAGGTCAGGAGAGGCCTCGTTGTGGGTCAGATTCCACCCCTGGAAGCAGGCCAGATGTTTTTGGAGGACTGTGCAGAGTAGAAGGTGTGTGTACTTAGTGGGACACAACGAGGTTCTGAAGTGAGAACAAAGCCCGGAGCTCCTCCACAACCCGACAAAGCTCCGAAATAAGAGAAATTAATTCTCCTCTGAGCGGAACGACGTGTCGGCTGTTTGCTCTCCACGAGTCACAAATCCAACGACACACACGGCGAGGAGGAGAAACCGTGTCGATGTAGATTTGAAAGTGAAATCCGATTTAAACTGAAGGCACGAATGAACACAGACGGTGGGATTGAGGAACAACCGGAGACGTGGAGACGCTAACGAGCTCCATCTCCTCCCACGCAGCGGCGCCCGCCTCCGCCTCCGCGCCCTGATTTTCGCCTTTGACTCTTGGCCTTCACGGGACGTTTTGAATCCCGCTGTCGTCACCATGCTCTTCATCACAACAGTCTTCATCACAACCCTCTTTTGTTTTTCAGAAAGCGACTGTCGGCTTCTCACCAAACTGCCCAAAGTGAAATGTCTCCGAAACACCAAGAGAGAAGGTGCGTTTACGCGTGTCTGTTTCAAAACACGGCAACACACACACACAGACACACACATGCACACTGAAGGGAACAAAGAGGAACAACACAAAGGCAACTTTTGGTTTAATTTAGGAGGACGGTCGAAGCTGCTTTTTGTGCGTTTTGAGCAGTTTTCTTTCCTCTAATCTGAACGAAAACGTGGTGGAAAAAGGCCTAAAATCCCCAAATTGACGTGGGAGTGAAAAACAATGTTGTCGCCAGAGAAGCCGAGTGTCCCTCGGCCCAAATATAACATAATAACATGCTTCATAGCGTGTGAACTCCAGGCTGCTGCACGTGAACCCGCGCGTGAATCCCGTGATTTATTGAGCCGAAGCGTCGCTGACGGCGTCTTTCTGCGTTGTTCTACTCGCTATGCGCGTCGGATTCCTCTGCTGGGAACAATAAAGATAAACTTGATTTGTGCGGGAAGTCTTCGCAGCGGGATACTGCGATGTGATTGGCCGGGAGGTGCAGATTAACTTCATGTAACCAGACTTTACGTTGTTATTATTGGTCTCTGAATAGAAACATCAGTAGTTAATAACTGGAATCATTTACAAGCAGAAACACAGATAAACAGATCCGTTTTTATGTGTAAATTAACGACTGGTCGTTGTATTTACATCATTCATTGGCTGGTTATTGTGATCATTATTATCATTATAACATGGACTTTGTGTTCTTTTGTGTTCTTTTGTGTTCTTTCCTTCTCACACTTTATATACTTCTTCTCCTTTTTTTGAGTTTCATGGTCGTTCAATTCGCCGCCGTCGTTCTCTTTTCTAACAGGAGCACTTGTCCTACATGCTGAAGGATTTCATTACAGCGCGGTGCTGCTGATCGCACACACACACACAAGCACGCCCACACACACACACACACACGCACACACACAGGCGGGGTTCGTCAGTTCGGGTGGTTAATAGTTTATTGCTTCAGGCCGTCTGAGTTGATTGTCTTTTTAATGCCCATAAAAACTCTGCAGGCTCATGCTGTACGTCTTCTCACACGCGCACACTTAAGTGCACACTTAAGTGCACACTTAAGTGCACACTTACTGTACTTGTGAGGCCCCTTAAAGGGCCACACTGGCGTCACGCGCAGCCTCACCTAAGGGGAGGCTCCTTCCGGCTGTGCAGGATTTGAATGCATCTACAGTATCTGTGTCCGGGGCGCAGTGATAAACGGACCATCACAACCCTTTGAAGGAATGGGAACTTAGAGTCAAACAGGCCATAAAGCAGGGGACGCTTTGGGGCGGGGCTACACGCTGATTGACAGGTCATACAGCGTCTCCACATCACGTCTCCAAAACAGCACAAACTGATGCTTAGTTGTATTTATCGTGAGCACGTCAGCTTCTTACATACAGTCCATAATTAGCACACTGTTATCACACACACAGACACACACACACACACACACAGACACACACACAGCTGTGATGGGCGGAGACAGAGATGTGAGAGTTATCAGTTATATGAACTCTCTCCTCTGTACAAAGTCAGGCTGTCCTGCACTCTATAGGTGTGTGTGTGTGTGCGTGTGTGTGTGTGTGTGTGTGTGTGTGTGTGCACGCTTGCTCGTGGCTGCAGTGTGTGTGTGTGTGTGTGTGTGTGTATATATATATGTGTATGTGTACACACTTGCTCGGTGGCCGCAGTGTGAGTGTACACACTGTATATATATATGTCTATGTGCGTAAACCCGCGCCCGAGAGAGTGAGAAATAGGGTGTTTGACTCACAGAGACCCCCCCCACACGCGGGAGGGGTGAGAGCGGTGTGTCTCTGTGCGC